ATTGTATATAGTTATTTTTTAATGAAATGAATATAATTTTTGAATTGAATTGAAAATGTCAGAATGATAGCTAAAAAGAAGAAAAAACTAAAGTCAGCAAAATAGATGATAAATGAAGATGAAATTAACACAGAGAAGTTGAAAAAACAAGCAAAACTTGAACAAGAAGTAAAAAGTACATAAAGATTTATAAATATTTAGACAGATTTTAAGGATGTTAGTTAAGCTTTACTGTTTTTAAATTGTTCTTCATTATACGGTATTTATGTTTTGTTGTTTGTAGTTATTTTACTCTCTGTTAAGCACTTTGTGATGTTTGTGTCTGTGAAAGGTGCTAAATAAGTAAAGTTTACTTATGTTGAAGAGAGCTCAGTTTCAATGAGAAACTTGTCTTCAAATGTTCAAGGGTGTTCCTCAGGGCTCTATCCTAGGTCCACTTCTTTTTATAATCTTTTTTAACAGTTTAGATAACAATGTGCCACATGCTCATTTTCATTTTTATGCAGATGACACTGTCTTGGATTTTGAAGCTAACTTGATTGTAGATCAATATCTGTAGTTTTGAATTTGGTAATGAACCGAATTAAAAAAATTATGTCATAAATGTGAATGCTTTGTAAATATTTATTATTGTGTTTACCAGAAACTAACAGGATTACTAAACGTCTTCATCCTCCTACGTCTTTTTGAATCTCCCACAGTGCTTGTTTAGTTTTTGAGTCAGGCTGTCAGGTGACTCACAAAAGAAGCTTATTCTTCTTTTTACAAAAGAAAAAAAAAACGAATAAATTATAAGAACAGGTCATTTAACACCCAACACAATGATAAAGTCAAAAAAGTAAAATAAAAATAAAAATAAAAAATAAAGTCTCAGTAACTTTCTGTTTTCAACTCTTTTATCAATAACAAAACAGTTAAAACATTAAGTTAAATCTTAATTTACAGAAWAATTCTGCATTATTTCTATAAAATGGTTCAGTAAAAAGCATCTKTTGATGGTTTGGATGCGTCCTGCAGAAACATTGATGTGAGCTCTGACTGCAGAACAAGCCACCAGGTGCTGACTGAAGCTCAGGCACTGATTTGTAAATCAGAGCAGAAACTCAAACCGTCATCTGGTCACTGGCCGGAAAAATGTTGTGTGTTCAGGAGGGACCCGGCTGACAGCATKCAGAGTCACACGGACCGTCATCTGTCTTCACTTCATCTTCTTACTGACTCACAATACAGTGAAAGAGATCCGAGTCACAGGAAGTCCTTATAAGAACTAATTAAATAATGTTTGCATGATGTTTGATACCAACAATTTCCTTTACTAATACTTTCTGCAAAACCACCTAAAATGTTGTAAATCTAAAAAAAAAAAAAAACGTAGGGTATTTCAAATTACCGCTTCATAAATACAACACGTATTTCATTATATTCACAGAAAAACCAGAGGACGCAAAGTAAAAATCAGGTTTTCAGAACATAAAAGCAAAATTCAATGAGATCTCCAGTTTGACATTTTATGACAGCTGGTCATGATATTTGCTCCTTGAAATTTCAAGGCACAGAAGTTGTGCCTCCTCTCAAAAGAGGAGGTGATAGAGATAAACAAAGGGAAGTATTCTGGATCCAGACTGTTAACACTAAAGAACTTAATGAAGAACTGGCGTTGAACTGCTTTCTGTGATTTTTGACCCTTTTTATAAAAATATTTTTGTAACTTTTCTGTGATTTCATGTATTCTTGTATAATGTGTTTTATTTAAGTCTACTAGTTGTGCATTTTTCTTTTTTGGGCTGATTACCTAACCTGTTTTTGATTGGCTTAGGTATTTTTTTACCTCTTTATATAGATTCGTAGTTTGTCTGATCTGTAACAAGTTGACAACGACATGTAACCGAAACGCGTCTTGCATTCTGCCCTTATTAAAAACATGGTATTTTTTGGAGTGCTGGTTATCCCATTTTAATAAATTATTTATAGCAATAAATTGTTTAATTTTCAAGAACTACTATAAAAATGAAAACGTATTTTAATTTACGTTACATGAACGTATTAACGTGAAAACACTGAACATGAAACATCTACAGACGGAGCACGTGCCTCAGGCGAAAGAAAAAGTAGTTCCCACCAGACGCCCATAATTTAGACAAGATTTCAGTGGTTTAGTTACTTTCCACTGTGTTTGTTTTACACATTACCTGAATGACTGAAATATTTTGATTTTAGTATCAACTCTGGAGTATAAAGTGTATCAGTGTTTCAGTAACAATTTGCACATTGTTTGTATCATGATGAAGCTACAGAAAAGAAGAAAACTCCTGTTTGTAGTCAAAGGGTAAAATCTCCTAAAGCTAATTACAAATAACAATATGGCAACAAAACAGTGAGAAAAATGATTTTTCAGGAATAAACGCTCACCGTTTCTGCCAAATATGGTCCTGAGAGCTCGAGGACACGGGATGGTGACGGTTTCACCAAATTCAGCTCGCTCCCAGCACGCGATGTTGTCCCAGGCTCCTCTGCATCCTGCGTCTGTTTAAAACCAAATCAGATTTTACAAAATGTAAAATTTCTGACATACAAAACATAAGTGGTGATTTCACTCACATCAAGGATTTAGTTCTCATTTTTTTAAATTAACTCGTGAAGAATCACAAACTTCAACTCTGATCCAACCCTAAAGTATGGAGGTCTGAATCTGACATAATTAGAAATAAAATCAGAAATATATAAATGGACAAATAAATAAATTTATTATAAAAGGGGAACTTTACCTCATGTTTTAAATAAACTTACCTTCATACTTATTTTTCCAGCTTAATTCCAATAAATTATATATTTTAGAACATAATTGACATTTTACTGTTTTTTTTAAATATATCTACTGTATATTGTATTTTACATATTTTTATTACCATGTGTTGCTTTTACATTTCTCTGTTTCCTGTTTTTATTTTACCTTATGCATTTCTGCCTCATTATTATAATTAGGTGGGCGGGGCTTCATGGGTCAGCTCCTATTGGTCAAAATACAGGAAGTAGCAGAATCCATGTGCAGATCTACTGTGCATGCTTGTGCTGCCTCAGTTTAGAGTAAAGTTTAAAGTTTAGTTTAAAACAAAGACAGGTAAGTGTTTTCCTCCTTACCTTTGTTTTTAATATTTAAATTAAAAACTTAAATGATAAAACATGAGGTAACATTCTCATTTCTTCATTTAAGTGGTGCATTTTAGGTGTATTTATTTATTTATTGGTCCATTTATATTTCTGCTTTTCTTTCTAATTATTGGGCCTTCGTACTGATAAAGCACATTCTAACAATGTTCATGTGATTTTTCACCAGCTTCGGATGTTATCATCCATTAAATGGACGTTATTAGCCGTTATCAGTCCCATAGAATGGCTTCAGACTGTCAGCTGGTTAATATGAGGCATAAAGCCATTAAGGTTTTTTATGCAACCTGGTTAATATGAGGCATAAAACCACTAAGGTTTTTTATGCAATCTGGTTAATATGAGGCATAAAGCCACTAAGGTTAATTTTAGAGAAAATGACATGGGCTACGATAAAGTAGACCGGACTCCGGTGGTAGCAGATTGTTGCATTCCAACATATATGGCACTCCATTCTATGGGACTGATAACCTGCTAGACGGCACAGTCGGGACAGTCTGAAGCCATTCTATGGGACTGATAACCATTAATAACATCCATTTAATGGACTGATAACATCCAAACTGGCTGTGATTTTTAGTTATTATGTATTTTTATCAGGAAGCTGTTTTGGACCTGCAGTAAATATTCCTCTAAACACATTGCAGCCTGTTTGTTTCTCTCCACCATGTTTTGGAGGAAGTCCCCCCAAATAAAAGGTTCAAACCATCTGAACCAAACAGAATTCTGACTGAACACAAGAGCGGCACCAACACCCCTCAAAAAAAAAAAAAAAAAACTGGATAAAAATAGCTCTTCCAGCTCTCAGTGTGAGCTTTAATGGTGCCAGAGAGCTGCCAGCAAACAGTCAACTGGGCTTTTTAGTGTCAGATGGATGGAGACTGCATGGAGGAGAAAACAAAGCTCTTCTCCACAGCATCTATGCTAAAGATCAGACCTGAAGGTGCCTCAAAATCAAACAAAACCGTCTGCGTTCACAAACTGAATGTGACATTTTATGTTGCTCAGCTAAAGAATACATCATCTGGAGTTAATTAATAATCTAAAGAACCGTTGTTTTGTCAGGTAATACGATGCTGACAAACCTGTTTTTTACAAATGTCAAAACCTGCAGCTGTTAGCAAAYCTTTTCAAAACCAGTCATCATTAAATGCTACATTTTAAAATACAGCAGACACTCCAACCTGGAAACACAGTTAGAAAAAGACAAGGAGCAGAAAACTGAATCTTTTTTTTTCAGGAAGTGGAGCTTGTAAGTACTTTTACTTTCTCAATGGGAGTCCAGATGTGCAGATAGAAATGTTGCTCCGTTTTCCTCATGTGGTTGCAACATAAAGGTAAAAACTCTGAGCTTTCTTTATTTTTATTGCATCATTATTTCATGTTTCTATTCCCTCTGCGTGTATAACTGTTCTTTTTATTGGCTCTCATGATGACATTTCTTCACGTTACACGGCGACTCAAGAGGTGAACCTGGTCTGACCTTACAGCTGGCTCCCAGTGGAGATTTAATACTTTAACTGATGTTACTCTCATCCTGACTTCTCTGTATATGTTCTGCAAAAATAATTTAAAAAAAGGAACAAAAAGTTAAATTTAGATTCCATTAGCCAGCAGAAACTTACAGCAACAGATGGAGAGAGAGAGTAAATTAAAAGTAAAAAAGTGGTGGAGGAKAGAGGAAACATCGCAGGAACAGAGAGGACAAAAAGAGGAGAAGAGGGGGAAAGAGTGTGAGTGCACGCGTCCCGAGGGTAAAACGGCTCCAACACTGATCCAGATTCAGCGGTGCGTGAAGAAAAACTCCATCTAAGTGATCCATCCTTTCACAGAAACACATCAGGGGCAAGACCRCAGGTTTCAAGCAACAACTCAATAAAAAAAAAGCTGAAAGAGTTCAACAAACTGAGCTCTTGGACTGTGCGACTGTTTCCCTTTATTCCTCTGGAAACACGCGCACTTTCTGCAGACAATCCATCTACTCAAAACTTCAAYACTTTCCAAAAATACTTTACTTTCAGCTACAAATACCTGCAGAATCAAGGGAAATGTGCAAAAAATAGAGAATAATAAACACCGAAAGAAACTGCGAAAAGACCTGTTTAGACAATTTGCAATTCCTGTAAAAAGTTTAGCTGAAAGCTGCTGAAATGAAGCTGAAAATGCTTTACAGCAAAACAGTTAAAATGAGATTTGAAAAGCAGAAATAGGGACAGTTTAACTAGGAAGTTTAACTTAGCAAAATAATAGCTGAAAACAGCAGAAAGATGGCAGAAAAAAGCTAAAATTAGCATAAAAACAAGCTGCAGGTAGCAGACACCAGTTGAAAATAGCACCCAGTGAAAGAGGTGTTAATAAATTCAAATTAACATAAAAAAGCATAAAAAGTGACAATTTCTTGTAAAATAGACTAAACATCAAATAAGTGCAGTAAAACAGCTAAAATGTGTCTGAAAATTCATAAATTGGCATAAAGAAGCACAGGGAGCACATGTTTGCTGAGCTAAGCAGAAAGAAGCTAAAATAGCCACCAAAATGAAATATTTAGCTCAAAAAAAGCAAACTTTTGCTAATAACATCTGAACATTAGCTAAAATTGCAGCAAATAGCTGAATATAGCAGAAAGTAACTATAAGAAGTAGAAATAGGTCAAATTAGCAGAAAGAAGCTAAAATAGCCAAAATTAGCAGAAGCATAGCAGAAAGAAGCAGAATTATAGCTGAATTAGCAGAAAAAACTAAGAATAACTAAAAAGAAGCTAAAATTGGCAGAAAGAACTTAAAAAGAGCGGTGCTGTAAAGATTTAGAAACATTTTGAAGGATTTTAAGGATGTTGAAAACAGCTCCATTCATTTTCAATGGGAAAAAGTGAAATAGCTAAAAAAGTATAAACAGCTGAAACAGCAAAATTCATAGCTGGAATGTCCTGAAGGAGCTGAACGGTTTGATATAGGAATTCTTAAAGTAGCACAAAAATTGCTGAACGAGATACGTGTCAAAAAACATAAATAATCTTAACTGTGTGAATGATTGTGAAGCTTTTTAAGATCATTCTTAATAAAACCTCACCTTCAGCATTTAAACTTTTAACTTATTTGCTGTAAAACCTGCAGGATTACACAGGAAAAATGACATTATTGTTGCTTTTCTCTAGATTTAGCTGGGAGACGTAATCTCATGCATCCCAAATCTAGTTACAGGGAGGATTGAGCTGTAATCCATTCAGATTTTCACTGCATCAGATCCACAACAGAAAGTGAGCTGAACGGCAACAGGTTTTTTAAATAGCAGGATAAAAAAGAAGCACAGAATGAAGCTGATCACATGTAGAAACACGTGAAGTTCAGCTCGTTTTTAAAAATAATGACCTCAGCCTCTCAGAGAGACTAACTCAAGCTTTAAAACCACCAATGATTAATTTAAAAATGTCTGCTTTTAAAAGTCTGTCATCGTACCGCAGCATTAAAAAAAACTGTGTTCTGTGCAACTTTTCACCGCCTTCCTGCTGAAATGTGCGGACCCTAATTATGTTTTCTTGTTTGCTGTAAACCTGTAAACAAACGAGCGTGCGCTGGTGAAAAAACAGTAATTAGGTCAGTCCGTTAGCTGTCCCTGCAGGACGGGAACAAAATAAATGAGGCACGACTCGCAGAGCTGCAGAGAGAGAGAAGGAGCTCAGGGTTTTTCCTTTTTTCATGTTTGTGAGAAAACCAGGCAGATGCTGTGAGCTGGAGTCACCTTTATTGTCACCGGCAGCTTCCTCGTCCTCCTTCAGCCTCTTCACACACTCCACCTGGTCCTTCTCCACCTCCAGCATGAAGTTGCAGGTTGGATGCCGGCCGTCAACCTGAACAGGAAGCAACAGGAATAAATTTAAGTTGAAGCCTTTCGTCGTGTGAAAGATGTGTTTTCTTCTCTTTGGAAGGAAATGTTGCRGYAGCTGAGAGTCATCCTCAACACAAACTCTGAAAGCTAACAAGTCATACAAGATCTTTGTTTAAAACGCTGACATGAAAGGCAGCAGGTGACACACAGAATGCTAATTTTACAGCTTTATCAGCAGTTTTATTGCTAATTGCAAATACTTTGTCATATATTGTTTTAGTTTTAAAATATTTTAGTTTTAAAAAGGTTAGCCTGCATCAACATTTGACTTAAAAACAGCCTAGCATTCTTTGAGGAATCATCGCCCGCCTACAAATTACTATGAACAGATCGATACTGAAACATCGATGCTACTGACACCATAACTTTGTGTTCTAGAATCCAYMCTAAAATCAAAATATCGATACTTTGATACTTCAGTTATTTCACATAATGTTTTCACATTAACTATAACTAAACTATTCAAATCTTGTCTGAATCAAATGTGGTTGGAGGGAACTACTTTTTCTTCCGCTTGGGTAATGCATGTGCACAGTGGCTCAGTCACTCAGTCTGTACAYGTATGGCAGGTCATTTTAACATAAAATTTGCTTTGTCTGACTGTAATTAAATTCTGGTTCCCAGACTTTTTCATGCCACGGCCCCCCAAACAGGATTAGTTCTGGCCAGGGACCTTCTTTCAAACCCACAAACAATGCTACAAAATATACAAAGTAACAACTTTTAGAGTGTTTTCTCTCACTTTTACTCACTGTTCAGAAATTATATTTCTTTAGAATAAGAACTGTGCTAAACAAATATAAGGTTATTGTTAGAATCACCGATACCAGACAAATTTTACTCAGTATCAGTATCGGAAAGGAAATTGGCAGTATCGAACATCACTACTACAAATACTACAAAGTAAAAGCAGAAGTATATAARAGATAGAAGCAGCTTGTTGTGTCCGGCGCTCCCTAAAACCACAAAAAAAGAGAGAAAATTGCTCATCAGTGATGATTTTCTTCTTTCAAAAACAGCAATCAGGCTTTCGTCACATCTGCACATGAATGTATTTCAATTCTGCTTGTGAAATCTGAATGAAGGAAATTATTTCATGTTGACACAAAAGGCCCGTGGATGAAAACACAGGAGCCACTTCCTTCTCTTTGTTTAAGCCCAGAGAGGAATTATGATCTGAGCCACACAAACCCTGAGGATGACCACAAATAAGCCAAAATCCTTTACATCGTAAATCATCAAAACCACTCAAGTGTCTTTTAAAMACACGTGAAGGCTACGTTTTACACATCCATGTGTGTTTAGTAAATAAAGATACTGCATAGTGGTAGCATATATGACCACCACATGTAGGTAAACAGAACAGAACATGCATATTTGTTGTTTTGGGTGGGGGTCCGTGGGGGTGATGGGGCTCACTGGTGGGCATATATGGCCCTTAATCAGAGCTAAACAACAAAAAAATCTGATGCTCCTGTGTTGAATCGTTTTTGAGTTATAAGCATCTTTTATTTGTCAAGACACCCCATTTTCAGATGGAGCCCCCTCCTCAAATAGGGGGTCTATCATAAAACTGTTGGCTGCAGTGTTTCACACTGATGGGTGCAGTCTGTTTTACAGACACACGTCAGCAGAAACAACCTGCAGACTCCAGACTGAGAGGTGGATTAATTCTTATAAAAGAGATTTAGATTTAAGCTCTACAATCCCTGCTTCCAGGAGGGGGGGGGGGTCCTCCCACTTCTCACTAACAAAATAATATAATCCCTCTTTAATCTGTTGCCTGTCTTAATTTTAGAACRTTCAGTCACCAAATTAACTAAATAAATAAAACTGTTGCATTTACAGTCGCTCTACCCTCGATCCCTCCATGAATCCAGATTATTTCTGCTACGTTGTTTAAATAAAAGTTTTATTTTTTGGAAATCTGTAGCCACTTTCATTACTGCTACTTTTATTTATTAAGACCCCCACCCCGCACGAGAAGGGGGGTCATATTGTTTTCATACTATTTATTTATTTTTATTTTTTTCAGTGATTTTTGATCAACTGTGTCACAGAAAAGGCTGCATCGATCAACATGAAATTTGGCAGGAGTCTGGCCTACACTGAGCCAGCCAACGGTTTTACAATAGCCCCCATATTTGAGGAGGGGGCTCCATCTGAAAAGGAACATACAAAATGCTTATAACTCAAAAACTATTCACTTACGAGCTTCAGTTTTTTATTTATTTATTTATTAGTTCTGATGAAGGGTTATCCCCCACACCCACCACAATAAATAAATAAATAAATAAATAAATAATAAAAAATTGTTCTGGTGAGTTCTGCTGCACTGGTGCTTTGTGTGGAGGTCATATATGATACCTCTATGCAGTATCTAGTTTTATCAGCAGTTATTTATATTCTCAGTTATTGCATTAAATACAAGAACTGTCAAAAACTTCCATTCAGATTAGTTCAGTATAAATCTAAAACATTTCTGCTTTATTTTCTTCTGTCAATAGATCAGCTATTTATGACTGCGGACTACATGATCCCCTCACAGTCCAGTAAACCCCTCCCAGACAGACTGCAGACCTTTATCCTCTCGCATGAGACCAAGCTGGCCTTCATCCAGCTCGCTCGCATGCAAAAACATGCACGCCCAAAGTGGCAGCTTAACTGCAATTTCATGCATCAAACACCAATAAACCGTTTGTGCAAGACGGGAGAACAGATTACGGTCCGGCTCTGGCTCAGATGTCCTCATCAAGCTCCCATCGAGCCAGATCAGCTGAGTGCAGAACTCTCCTCGCTTAGACTGAGACTAAAGCAGGTTCAGCTGCACAAACTTCCTTCACTACAGATTTGCTGTAATAAAAAAATATGTTTTTTTTTTCAGAGATATTGAGAGCTGACAGTGGACAGGCTTCTTCCATCCTTCACTGCATAGTGGATTAAGTTTTATTTATAGAACATGAGAGAATAAACTGGTGCGTTTAGCTTTTTTGAGTCAGGTGCAGCTGTGTCCAGACGAGCAGAACCAACAGATGCTCACATCCGTCTGCTCAGAACTGATGTCAGCGGATATTTGTCATGTGCCGAAGCCTTCTGCTGATTTCTTACAGCAGCCAAAAGTCTGCCAGCAAACTCGTTTTCTGACCGGGTGGAGACACGGCTCGAATCCGTCGTAGTTTCCAGTCAGACGTTGCTTTTAGAGGACGCTTCTGCTCGGTCCTCCCACCATCTTTGAAGGCTTCAGGTTCTCCTTCTTACGTCTGCACCCCGGCTGTGTGTGTGATCGCTCATAAACAAAGCTCTGTCATCGACTCGTAACCCTGGCTGGCTCACTTCAGGCTGTTGAAGTAAACACTTGACTTAAAGAACACAGATATAATTCATGTCAGTTTGTTGAGCTTCATGCATCAAACCTTTAAAGCTCAACATGTTCTCGTCACCAGTGCTGGCTCTAGCCATTTTGGTGCCCTAGGCGAGTTGAAGCGCACCCCCCCCCCCCCCCGAACTATGTCCCACCCACCTCAATTTGAACCCCTAAAAACAAGTTTGACAGTGTAAGGTACTAAGGTAAACTTAGATTTATTTGCTTTCCCAGAAAGCAAATGAATAAAAACATACATGTCAACTTGTATGGATTGCCCGCATGAGATTTTTTCAAAACCTCATTTTCAAATTTATCTAACATGTCAGAGCCTGTAGGATGATTTAAATAAAAAAATAAAAAAACATTAAATAGCCATCTTCCAACCTGTTCTGCCAGTAGAAATAAGTTTTGAACTCTTTCCGCTCTCCTTTGCTCCTGCTTCGCAGCAGATGCTTTCACATCCTCAGCAAGGCTGAGGGGCACCACTAGCCCCTCCCCCATCAGAGTGTCGGAGTAGGACGACTCAGTGCAACGTCAATCAAATGAGAGCGAGGGTGGGGGCGATTGTTGCATTAAGGGGGGGGGGTTACGGGTAGTTTATTTTTCCTGTAATACTTCATTATAGTTTTTAAGACAAAACTAATTGAAAGGGATGCTGAGCAGAGTTACAACCAGGAATTACAAATAATTACTTTTTTACTTTTGCAGTTCGCTGCCCCCTCCAGCAGATGGCGCTCTAGGCGACCGCCAAGGTCGCCTATGCCAAGAGCCGGCTCAAACAGAGACGACACATTTGTTTAAGCTGATTTGCCTCCTCTTCACCAAGTTAGTTTATTTCTTTTCTCTTGTTATTTATTCATTTATTCTCCTCAATTTAATGGTATAAACCTATAAAGCAGACATTATTACTCTTGTTTTTGTTTTACGTTTATTAGATTCTTAACTTTTTTGATTCTTCTTGTTTTTTATTTATATGTCCCATGTTTTTACATTAACATTTATTCATTAAAATTTGTATAAAATAATTATCAATCTTCAAACTCCACCAATAATAAGACCGGTGGCATTTTTGACACACTTGTAGCATTTTAAATCTAAATGTTGTAATCAGTCAGGGCTGCAGATTCTTGCAAAAACACAGTTTTGGCTGAATGCAAATTCATTTTATAAAAAAAGTTACTTCATTTAAGAACTAAAAACATGCTTTTTATCATCCTTTTTTGATGGAAATCCTGTTGTTGTTTTTTCCTGACTGATATCCTCTGCAGAGCTGAGCAGAGCTGGCTCTCTGGGTAACAGGCCAACTGTCCTGACCCAAAGGTCACATCTGCCCCAAATCAAAAGAAAATATAAACAAGAGTCCACAAATATGACTGTTGACCTCTGACTGGACCCCGAAGTAAGACCCCACCCAGAGTTCACCATCTGCTGCGGGCTTCATGGTTACTCAGAGGATTCAGAGCATCATCATCATCATCATCATCATCATCATCACATGTCAGAGGAAACTCACAGTTTCCTTTTATTCTGCTGTCTTAAGACCAGCAGAGCAGAAACACTGGTTTAAATAGAGAATCAGGACATCATTAAAGAGAAAA